CGACTCCATGGCACATAACTTCCACCACCACCAATAGTCCTGGTGTGGCCCAGTAGGGTAAGAGCAGCAGTTCAAACACACCAGCTACTCCTTGGAGACCCAATACAGGTGTGCTGTGAGTTGGAACTGACTCCACGGCACCTAACAATAGTCATTTTAGAGCCCTGCTGTGGTGCCGTAGGGTATGCACTGGACTGCTAAGCAAAAGGTTGGTGTTTCAAACTCACAAGCTGCTCCTCAGATCCAACTCAACAGCACTTACTAATAGAAATTTCATATCACAAAGATCTGACAAAATTCAAACAGAAATAGGAGCTAAAATTTGAAACAATGCAAATGCATAGCGGTTCTGCAAGGAGGTCTTCTACAGTTCTTCTTTTGTCACTAACTATGTTGCTGTTGTCAAGTACCCTGGAGTTTGTTCTGACTCACAGTGACCCTATATAGAGTTTCCAAGGAGCAGCCGATGAGCTTGAACGGTGACCTTGCAGTTCAAACTGACTTTGCAGTCCAGCGCATTAACTCACAGTGCCACACCAGAACTCCATGAATACCTGCAAGTCCTATGAGCAATGCTCTGGGACTCAGGCACTCACTCAACAGAAAAGTACTGTGGTTCCCATCAGGCCCTTGGGACCTTATTCAACCTTTATGTGGAGAATCTTCTTCATTTGACAAAAGAGGAAAGGAATGATCTCAAACAGACCTCAAGCAAAGGTTTGGGCACCACACACATGCATAAACCCTTCCCACAGAGAAAACCCTAGGGAAGATGGGATAGCCCACCCAATTGCTAAATAAATATTTTGAGGGTTACAATTCATAAAAATTAGAATGTATACTTTTAGTGCCTTTGAAGTAATTTATTACCTTCTAAATTGAGTATCAGGATTTGAGGTAAGGAGTATCTTTAAATGGATTAGAGAGAGCGAGGTCAGTATGTCCATTTCACTGATATAACGTCACTCTCTGTTGCTTGGTCAGAGACCTACAAAGAGTGACCAGGCATCCTCTAGCTTTGGAGTCCTTGTGTTGCACATTCTAGCAGAGGCCCTGAGAGGTTTCCACATCCAATGTTTCATTTCTCTATGACCCAGGAAGGAAAGCTTCTACCTACCTTGATGTGTAGAACAAACTCTGCAGAATTGGTGCCATCTGTGACCTCCAAATATATGTCATCCTGAAGAATCTCAGATCCATCATGTTGGTACCTATGAGGATGATACTTGTCACACATATTTCAAGGTCCCCATGAGAGTCCTTTGAGATGAACAATGCAAGAGCTCATCCCTGAACCGTGCCTTCAGAGGCTCTGTGTTTGTATGTTCAAGAAAATAAACACCAGCATAATTGTGAAGCCACACACTTAACTCCTAAAGTATCTCTGAATATAAGATTCCATTACCCTAGAATAATGTGTTTTGTACATTCATAATTTGTCCCCTAATCCAAAAAGCAGTCCTTCAAGTTGTCACTGTGACTATTGGAACCATGTGGCATAGCTCTGCTTACTTGTAAAATACACTGACTGAGGCCAGGTGAACTCTGAGACCCAGCAGGAGAATGAGACGTTGGGTGAATTTTGATGATTTCTGCTTCCCTTCCACTTTTCTAAGACAAATTCTCCCACCCGCACTTGGTCTTTCTCCTGCTCATCCCCAATACCTTGCTCTGTGAATCATTACCTCTCTTTCATTTACTAGCTCTCTTCCTCTCATCCTATAAAGATCTTTCAATCTCTCCCAATCTTAAAAAAAAAATACTTTCCCTTGGTCTAGCCTTGGCCCTAACTTCCATTAATTCTCAGTCCTGCTTCTTGAAAGAGTTGTTAAACTCTAGGTTTTCCATTTATTCTTCAGCTCACTGCAGCTCTACCTGATGAAGTTAAAATATCTGTTGAATTGAATGGCACCAAATTTTCAGCATGTCAATGCTGTTTCATCAAGACACTACGAAGGAAATAACTCCTGATACTTGAGGAAAAAACAAAACAAAACACTGCAAAAAGTATAGTATATTGAACATAAAAAAATAGTTACATGAAAAACTAATCTTAGGCATAAAGGGATTAATTTACTGAGAACTATACTCACACATGGAGTCCTGGTGTGGCAATGTGGGTTAATGCAGACTTCAAAGTCCTTTTGAACTGCAAGGTCGGTGGTTCAAGCTTACCAGCCCCTCCTTGGAAACCCTATTCAGTGTCACTAAGAGTCTGAACTGACTCAACAGCACTTAACAACAACAGACTTCTTTTACCGTGCCAATATTCCTAAAGCACTAGTGGGTCTAAAGATGATTTAGTATAAAGGCAGGTCATTTTTCAAAGACTGACTTCCTCCATCTACTAGGTGAGTGATCTTGGGAAAATTCCTCAGTCCCTTTGTACCTTAATTTCTTCAACTATAAGACCAGAACCATCTACCTTGTTGGGCTTGATTGCTGGAAAATTTAAATGTGAAAATGTAATTTCAAGCCCCAGCATATAAACTGAATTATATATGCTGGCAAGTGTTGGTACTTTTCTTCCTTCCCATCATTCACTCCCTAATAAGAATTATCGAAGCAGAGCACTCTTTCTAGCATGTGGTTGAGAGCTGCATTTTTGCAAACCCCATAGTACTAAGTTTAGCAACCAAACTAGGAGCCTGGCTTGTACTGGAGACTCAGTTTACTTCTCACAAATCCACAACATGGAGAAGAATTTTACAATGGTAGGTGACACCCCAACATTTCTCCAGATCAGAAAACCATTCCACCAAAGGGCATGGGTTGGTCTGGATGGGACTATAAATCACCGATGTTTAGTAAAGTATGGGGAGATTCAACTGCTCTACCTATGCACAAATCCTAATTCCTAGTCAAGTGTGGAACTAAGCATTTGATGCCTAATGCCTCTAATTTTATCAGAAGGGCCCAAATTCCCATTTATCTCTTGAACTTATAAGTGAGAAATTAGCTAATATGTCTGTCTACCTGACCATTGATTTTGTGTTGTTTCCCATAGAAGTTGTTTGACAAGTATTTTATTTTGGGGAAAAATATAGAATTGCATTAGGCAGAGGAAAGAGGAGATGAGGGCACTTGCTGTGAAGATGATGAGGTACGGGTTGCTCCGTTCTTAACTAACCCAAGAACTACTCCATTCCCTACTCAGCTCAACCTACTTGTCCACGTGTAACTAAATCCCCACCACAGTAGAATGGAACCAAAGGTTACATCAAAGTACAATAAAGACATTGGTCAGCAAGGTTCTACCCCAGAGTTTCCAAGACTATGAGACTTGCATTACTTAGAGTCAAGTTCAATTATCTAGCTTAGCCTTAGAGAATATTTCAACCTGTACTCATTTAGCATGATTGTCACTTCCCGTGATATGTGCAGTTTCAGCAAGGTTCACTTGGATGCTCGTTAATTTTTGTTGTCCCAGTATCCACAAAATCCTTCCCACTGGAACGCCAAGGAGAATAAAATCTCTGGAGGTCAATGAAAACTGTAATTTCTTATTTTAAATGGACCCTTTGTTAAGTACTAAACTGCTTCTTGGTACCCATGAAAGAGTTGGACAAACTACCTTTATCAACCTCACACTGGATCCAGAGAGTATGAGCCAAGGCACATAAAGAGAAAAAGCATTAACAAGTTCTAACCTAACTTTTAAGGCATGGAGATCTCCCCAAGAAAATGTGCTCCCTGTATTTAGAGGAAATCCATTAAGTTCCACCCTTCCATGGAGAGGCAGTCTCTGGAGGGAGAGGCAGATATTGTCCAGCTTGGTGTCCACATCAGAAACCAGAATGTGTTCTGTGCTGATGATGCACTGACCTCCCTCAGCCACTCTGAGAGGGTTGGTAAATACCTAAAAAGAAAAAAGAAAACATTCAAAGCCTTGTTCCAAGAAACATCTGAAGACAAGTTCTAGTTACCATCCAGTCCGCTTTCAACTCATGGCAACTAATCCCATGTGGGTCGGAGTAGAGCTGTGCTGCACAGCATCCTCAATGCTGATTTTTAGAAGAAGATCACTGGTCTTTCTTCCCAGGTACCTCTGAGTAGGCTTGAACCTGCAACCTCTCAGGTATCGTTTGCAGCATTCAAGGACTCTACTTGTAAAGACTGCCTCTAAGTCAATCTGATGCATAGCAACCTTCTACAGGTTTTCCAAGGCTTTTAAAATATTTGATGGTGGTGGTAATGTGCCATGGAGTTGGTTCCGACTCATAGTGACCCTGCATAGGGTTTCCGAGGCTGTAAATCTTTACAGAAGCAGAAAGCCTCATCTTTCTCCTGCGGAACAGCTGGTAGTTTCCAAATGCTGAGGTTAGCAGCCTGATTCATAAGCACCATGCTAGCCTTATCTCTCTCCCACACTTTTTTCTACCCTAAATATAATTAAACATATGATAAATTGTTTGGGGACTTTTAAGCTTCAGTTGTTTTATTTTAGATTGGAGATTCCATAGTAAATGGACTTATTCAACTACTGGATTCAAATATTAAAGCGATAAAGATAATTTTCTCTAATAGAAAAGCCCAGTGCTCAGATGACTAATCATTCATTTATTGAAAAGCAAGTGAGAATGGATTGAAGTCCTTTATCACCATGCTGTGAGCTGGCAAGATGCATTCCATGGTCAAGTCAGTTTAGAAAACAGTTACATACAATATCCTCATCTTGGAGACTTACAAGGCACATATGTATATTTAAGGTCCTGAAATCCTGCAGTAGGAAAACCTGTTAAGTTTAACCCATAATTCCCCCAAATTTGTTCAATATGCATCTGAAAGGGAATAGCTACAAATCCTGGGCTCTGAGGACCCTCTGCAGATGGTCCAATATGAGTACAAAGCTTTCTTTAGGTGGTCTAGGGTTAGTGCCAATATGAATGCACTTCTACCCAGAAAGGAGAAAGTCTCCAGAAGAAAGTACTGGAAAAAGGAGGATGTAGGAAGTGACCAGGGGAACTAGTGGCAGACCCCTGGTTCACACTGTGGACTGGGCTCCATCTCACATCTGTAAGGGCATCCATCCATGTCCCCCTGGATCACAGAAATTCTGAGGCCTACTCTTCCATAAACTTCTTACACCAGCAAACGAAAGCTCAAAGCCAATGGCCTTCTCATCCTCTAGCCACCCGGCCCAGCTCTTTCCAAGCATCTCATTATCATTTTGCCAAACTTACATTTTCATTGCTTGTAGGAGTAAGGAAGATAAAGAGCTCTTGTTTAAGGAGATGTACACAGCCAGCTGCTAACAAAAAGGCTGCACATTTCATTCATCCTGGAGTACCTCAGAAGAAAGGCCTGGTAATCTATTTCCCCAAAATCAGTCATTGAAAATACTATGGAGCAAGTTCTACTCTGACATATGTGAGGTCACCACGTGTCATCAATCAACTACATGGCAATTGGCTTTGCTATCTTTGCCCATGTGTGGTCAGCCTCATTTTCCCCTGAGATCTATTAGTGTCCTGAGATGCTGACATTCTAAGGGATATACTTTGCTATATACGGTAATTTAAAACACACACACATATATATAAAGGGAAACTTTCAGAAGAATAAAAGCCAAGACTAATTTGCAGCTCACTAGGGTTTCAGAGGCTCGGTTGAGCCTGGTGTCAAAACCCTCTTCAGGTATTGTTCAACCTAGCTCTCAGTGTGGACTTCACATCAGAAAATGGATCTGGGGCTGGTTACACTGAGCTACTAATTTAGTTGTAATTCTGATCTCTTCAATTTTCTAAGGTACTATTGTCCTGGTGTGGCACTGTGGGTTACTGCGTCAGATTGCAAAGTCATTTGAACTGCAAGGTCGGTGGTTCAAGCTCACCAGCTGCTCCTTGGAAACCTTGTACAGGGTAGCTATGGGTTGAAATCCATTCAATGGCACTTAACAACAACAACATTGCATTAAAAAAAAAAAAAAAAATCACTAATGTCACCAGAGTCCTGGTGTGGTATTGCAGGGTAATGCACTGGACTGCAAGGTCGGTCTGAACTGTAAGGTCAGTATTCCAAACTCACTAGCCACTCCTTGGAAATCCTGTACAGGGTCGCTATCCATCAGAACTGATTCAATGGCACTAACAATGGCAACAACACCACTTTAGCTTCACATCATCATGACTATTTAATGTGTTTTCTAAGCAAGGCCACTTTTCACATCAACCTTTGTAAATTTCTTCACAGGTCACCCTTCTCTTGCTTCCTTAGATTCTGGGCTATATCAGAGTCTATATTTAATGCACAGAAAAGGATGATCTGAATAAAATCCTATCAAGTAAACCCAACAAGGATTCTAAGCCGCTCTCACCACAAAGAATAGAACCTGTCTTCTGTGTAAGCTTCTTGGTGCATCTTCTACCAAAGATGGCAAACAACTTACAGACTTGTGGGTTCAGGCCAGTGATGTAGGTGAGTGTGGGGGGTGAGCTGGTGGGCCGTGGGGGCTAGGGAAACACACACCTCGTCCAGCTGCTGCTGTGTGAACTTGGTGTTCCCACTGCTTCCAGATTTTCAAGAGAAGTCAGAAATGTTCTGATGCCTAAATGTCAGTAGTTAATTATTTTAAGCATTGTTTAGACCCATGAGTCACTTGTGTGGAAGAGGTGAACACCCTCAGTGTGAGGTCTGCACAAATAAAGAGACAATGACAAGTGTTCAGGAAGGAGAACATCTGTGCTTTCCTGGCCATATTCCAGGCAGACACCCGGGAAGGCTATCTCTGTCCCTAGAGAGGTGCATGCTAGGTTCTGGTCTCCTCTGGATAATGTTGCGCAGTCTTTCTGCTTTTAATAGAAGAAAAGGAGTGCAGGGATAGCCACTCTAATTAAGTCTAGCAGTCTGTTGGGGGGTAGGTAAGCAGGCAAGGGAACAAACTCTCAGTGTGAACTCCAACTGCCCAGATACCATGAATAAGGTAGCATTGTCTTTGTGGTTATGTTTTAATGAGAGGCCCAGTCCTTCAGGGCTTACATAAATATTGGGCAGTGGGACAGGAGAGGATGGAAGTTTCCTCCTTAATTCGTTTTGGAAAATTAAAGAGCTTCTTTGGATTACAGAGCAGCATAGCGGGCCTGCAGTGAAGCACATAAGCCCCTCCGGTTGCTAAGAGACCCATAATTCAATCCCCTTCCCCTGATCAACACGTGAAACTCAACAGAAAGGAGAGGAAATGAAAGAGATTTTGCGAAAGCTTTGAAAATAATGCCAAATTCAGCAACTAGGAAATCTCATCTTTTAGATGGAAAGTCCCATGGGAGGGAAAGGTTCCTCCCTCCCCCAACTTTTTGCCCTGTATCTTAGCTGGAAAATAAAAGAAGTGCTTTAAAATAGTTGAAAGAAAAGTTATCATTTCCAGCCACTCTTAAAGTCTTTCTTCTCCTTTCCTTGAGTCCTCTCCCTTCTTTTCTTCTCCCATACCAAAGCGTGGCCGTACCTCAGGAACTTGGTTGTCTACAGGGAGAATGGTAATGTTAAAACAGATTCCGTGTAAAGTGCCGCCATGATGGTTACGGACGGAAAATGTGAACTGGACGTGTCGGAGGTGGTGGCCTATGTCCTGCATGGGCGGCATGTAGGCCACTTTCATATAGCTCACAGCATGCTGCAAAGCAAAACAAGAATCAGGAATGTCCAGAGATCCAGGTCCCAGGAATCAGCCATGTTCATTAATAGGGAACACCATCTGAAGAGCCTAATGAATTCTATTTGAAAAATTACATTTCCTACAAACCAGGAGAGAAAAGAATAAAGGAATTAAGTACAATTTCCATGGATCCAAGTGCTTGGAACCATCCACATCAATGAACGGTATTGTAATCCTGGCAAGCTGCTGAATTTTGACAGGCCTCTGTTTCCTTATCTGTATAATGGGTAAGAGAATAACCATACAGGATTGACATATACACTATAACCTGTAGCTATAACCTGTAGCTACAATGAATTTAAACATAATTAGCCCCAAAGCATAGAGGTAGATCCCTGTGGGATCTGTAGGAGTGGGCAGAGGGCTGCTGAAGGATTCTGGATGGTTGTAGGATATTGGGCAAACTAAATTTTGCAGAATAAAAACTTACTCACTATTTGCTCTCAGGACTGACTGTGAGAGTTGCAAATGTAAAGAAGGTTTTGTAGCAAAAGGAGGGGAATGGATGACCTTCCAGTCCAGGATCAGAGGTCACTGGGACCATCAAGGGAGAAGAGAGGAGTGCGGGACCCTACCCAGAGAAACAGTGATGCCAGAGATGGAGGCAGAGACAATGACGTGGAGAGATGGAGCAGTTGGGGACATTGGACTCTGGGAGAGAGAGGAGCTGTGTGCTGATGACCGGGGGGCATGTACCCTTTGGTTGTTTGATGATGCATGAAGGGGATTGTAATCATTGCCATGAAATGATATACAATAGGATGAATGTAAAGTTAATGTTCTCCCATATAAACGATCACATAATTCACAATAAAAACTTTCAAAAAAACAAAATAAAAACTTTTTCACCATGTCCCCAAATTAGAATTTCACTGCTTACAAAAGAGTGCAAATGCCTGTGGTGAATTATGACAAGATTTTGAAATCATGTTCAGCTTGATCAAGTGTTTTCACATAGATGTTGCCCATTCAGTGGAAATGGTAGGCAGCGGTTTTGACAGATGTCAAAGGCCAACATTCCTGATTGCAACATTAGCAAGGCTTCTTCTTGGTAAGTACCAGAGGGGGTTCAGCAAGTTCTTAGAGGGCATTTAATCCTGATTGTCAATACTTTAGCATATTACCATACCTGAGTGAATGACCTCAGTCTCAGGGCTGCAGGATTTTTGGTTAGCTTTGGTATGCTGTCCACCAGGAATAACTTCCCAGCATCTAAATGTCTAAACAGAATCAGGAGAGAATACATTAGCTAGTTTTCCAGGTAAGAAAAATCAAATGAAAAAAGAACTAGATTTCTGTTTCTTAAAAGACCTCGTCATGGGAAGAAATCATGTACTCCTTCTTTATCTTAGGGGAGGGGATCTCAGGAACCCTGGTGGCACTGTGGGCTAGGCATTGGGCTGCTAACTGCAAGGTCAGTGGTTCAAATACACCAGTCACTCCTTGGGAGAAAGATGTCTGCTCCCATAAAGACTAACAGCCTTAAAAAGCCCTATTTGGGCCGCTATCAGTTGAAATCGACTCAGTGGCAGCAGGTTAGATTTTTGTGGGTCTTGGTCTTACAAGGAGCCTGGGTGGTGCAGTGTTTAAGCACTTAGAGGCTAACCAAAAGGTCAATGGTTTGAACCCACCATCTGCTCTGTAGGAGAAAGATGTAATAATCTAGCCTTAGAAACCTTTTTGTGCAGTGTGCCCAGGATCGGGCAGTGTTATGTTCTGCTGTGCATAACGTGGCTATGAGTCGGTACCGACTCGATGGCATCTAACAACAACAGCAACAACAACAAGATGCTCTGGTAGTGTAGTGGTTATGAGTGGGGCGGCTAACCTTAAGGTCAGCAGTTCAAAACAACCAGCCATTCTGCAGGAGAAAGATGAGGCTTTCTGCTCCCTCGGAAAACCTATGCAGGGTTACTATGAGTCAGAACCGACTGCACGGCACATCACCACCACCATTCTGGCTTACAGAATGACTGAGTCAGAACTGGATCAATAGTAGTGGGTTCAGGGATTGTTTTTGGTTTTTTAGTCTTTAGTCTGATATCATCAATGCCATTCTCAGCATGGCTGTGAAAAGCATCACATTGTGAACAGGAATCATTGTTCTCATCCTAAAAATGAGTCCTTGTTATCATACACATGACATTAGCCTAAGGTATAGCTCTGCTGCTTTTCTGGATTAGGGTCATAGAATATGACTGTTTCATGACTTACAAACAACCTTATAAGGACGTCAGTCAGTCAATCTTACTAAAAGGACATAAGAGAGTTCTCTTCAAAAAGAGGGGAAAAGATTACTTTAAGTCTACCTAAATTGAATATGGAGTCCTGGTGTGGCACTGTAGGATCAGCACTGGACTACTAACCACGAGGCTGGTGGTTCGAACCCACCAGACACTCCTTGAAAACTCTACACAGGGTCGCTCAGAACTCACTGGACAGGACTCAACAACCACAAATTGACGATACACAAACTTCTGGCCACTTACCAATCAGTATAGCTTTTGAAGGGAAGTACAAGATACATTTGAAATCAAAGTAAATGCTAAATCGTGGGTATAAATTTAAGTCTGATTAGGCAAAGTCCTTCAACCACTTGGAATGTTGAATACTGACATTTTCAACTCTCCAAACCTCAACTAATAGCCCAAGCGATGATGTTTCATGGAGATACCTGGGGCCAAAGGAGAAAAATGGAGGTGTCGTTATTGTGTACAGCAGTTCCCTGTCATGTGACTCCATGTCCACAAAGTGCAGTTGCTGCTTAGTTATGTAGGCCACCTCCGTTTCCTTGACAACCAAATGCCGAGAAACTCCAGGAGCTTCTTGTGGAAGTTGATCATCCACTGGCGTGATGTGGATTGTCACTACCTAGAAGGAAAACACCTGCACCGTTATTGCAAACACCAGTGTTAAGGTGATTTTCAGATACTATAATGTATAATACAGGGAGTCCCAGGGTTACAAATGTCTAATTTACAGACATCTCCTATTTGTTGTGCAAATGTCCCCTCGCTTTGAAACAATTGAGCCAACCCCTTAAAAACCCACTGCTTGGAGTAAATTACAACTCTCAGTGGCCCTATAGGGCAGAGTCGAACTACCCTATAAGGTTTCCAAGGCTGTAATCTTTATGGCAAATCTGCTGCACAAGACCTTTTGAAAGTGTTGAAGAGTAAACATGTCAGCTTGAGGACTAAGGTGCACCTGACCCAAGCCATGGTATTATCAATAACCTTATATACATGCAAAAGCTGGACAGTGAATAAGGAAGACCATAGAAGAACTGCTGCATTTGAGTTACGGTATTGGAGGAGAATATTGAAAGTGCCATGGGCTGCCAAAAGAACCAACAGATCCGTGTTGGAAGAAGCGCAGCCAGAGTGCTCCTGGGAAGCCAGGATGGCTAAATTTCCTCTCTTATACTTTAGACATATTGGCAGGAAGGGTCAGTCACTGGAGAAGGTTATCATGTTTGGTAAGGTGGAGGGTCAGAGAAAAAGAGGAAGACCCCCAGCGAGATGATTTGGCAAAGTGGCAGCATCAATGGGCTCAAGCATGGCAACAATTGTGAGGCTTGCCCAGGATCGGGCAGTGTTTCATTCTGTTGTGCATAGGGTCTCTATGAGTTGGTACTGACTTGATGGCACCTAACAACGACAAGAACAGTATTTATAGATGCGGATTTCACTGTCTTTATTTCATGGAGGGACTTGTGGGTTCAAACTGCTAATATTTTGGTTGGCAGCCAAGTGCTTTAACTGCTGCACTACCAGGGCTCCCTTTCTTGCACTAACCCACTACCCACTGTCACTGAGGCAACACATAGTGACCCTATATAGAGTTTCTGGGGTTATAAATAAACCTTTAGGGGAGCAAAAAGTCTCATCTTTTTCCTGCAGATCATCTATTGGGTTTGAACTGCCCACTCTGTGTTTAGAAGTCCAATGCTTGCTTATCCTACAGTGCCCCCCAGGGCTTTTTCTTGAGCAAAAGTAATGAACCTGTAGTACTTTTCAAAGTGAATCCTGCACTCTCTCTGATCATCTCACCCGCCTGCATGTTGTTTCTGCAATCTGGAATGTTTGTCTGCTTTCACCAGCAATCCAATGCCTTCCAACCCTGGAAGACTTTTCTGTGAAACTTCCCCCAATTTCTTAGTTACAATTACTGTTCCTGCATTTCGCTTAGCCCTCAACAAGCATTTCTAATTTCACTGTCTTATATTAACAGTTAAGGAACTCTGGTAGCATAGTGGTTCCAAATCGGGCTGTGAACCGCAAGGTCAGCAGTTCAAAACTACCAGCTGCTCCAAGAGAGAAAGATGAGGTGTCCTGCTCCCTTAAGATTTACAGCTTTGGAAACCCTGTACAGGGTCGCTATGAGTCGGAACCGACTCCACGGCACAGAACCACCATATTAATAGTTAGTGGTTTACATGTCAGTCTTTCTCCAACCAAGATTACAAATTCCTTGAGAGCAAGATTGCAGTGTTGTACAAACCACATGGAAATTGGCAGTAAGCAGTTACAATCCTGAGTATATATCACTTACTATCTGTTTAGCCTTGAAGAAGTTGCTTAACATTCTTATGTGCTAATTTTCTTATTTGTAAGTTTAGAAAAATACCAACAATTTCATGGAGTTGTATAAGGATCAAATATCACTATGCAGATGAAATGCCTGGCACACAGTCGGTGCTCAACAAATACCACCTTCATCTCTGCATCTCCAATACATAGATTATGGAATTTTGTATGTAAGAGGCACTTCACTAAGCATTTGCTAGCTGAATGGGTTGCCATGATCAGTTTGAGATTGCAAAAATTCTTAAAACCACATTCACAGGTTTGGGTCATGCTAAAATGCAAGGGGATTTTGCCACACAGCATTTAGTATCACTTTTACTTGTTCTTTTATTTTTTAACAATAATCCCTTACTGGTTAGGATAAAACAATTGCCTACTCTCCCTGGACATGGTCCAGCTGTTGGCATCACAGTCCTGCGGTGGTACGGTGGGTTAATGTGCTGGACTGCAGTTGGTTTGAACAGAAAGGTCGGCGGTTCGAATTCATCAGCTGCTCCTCGGAAACTCTATACAGAGTTGCTATGGGTTGGAATTGACTCTACAGCACTTAACAACAACAACAACAACACCGTAGTTCTCTGAGAGCTCTCTGGTGGCACAGTTTTTAAATACTTGGCTTATAAACTAACGGTTGGTGATTCAAACTCACCCAGCTGCTTTGTGGGAGAAAAGACTTGGTAATGTGCTTCTGTGAAGGCTGATGCAGTTGTTACACTCTGTTGAGTCTGTTCTGACTCATAGCGACCTTGGATAGCATTTCCGAGGCTGTAAAGCTCCGAGAGAGCAGAAAGCCTCTTCAACTGAGAAAGCCCTCTGGGGCAGGTCTACTCTGTCACACGGAGTTTCTATGAGTCACAAATCAATGTGACAGCACCCAACGACATAGGTCTTTGCACAGTCTGCCACTTGAAAGCATTTGGACTCTGACTTTGATCTAGTTTAATGTCACTGAGGTACAGATCAGCGTGCCAAGTTTTAGTCATGTTCATAACACCCAATTAAAAACATGAAGAGAATTCTTTCTAAAATGGACATACAAAGCAAAAACTAAAACATGGTGAAACTTTTGCTATGATATAGAAACGACTGGAATATCCGTTCTGCCACCTACAAGCTGCGCTCCTTGCCTGAACCACTGAACCCGTTTGCATCTGGATTTTTCCCTCCTTTCCTTGGTAACCCTCACAATGGCAGTTACAGTGATGTGTTACCAGGATCAAAAGGTAATTCAGGGTGTGTTCAGGACTTAGTAGGTGCTCAGTAAATTAATTCCCTGCTTTCCTTTCCTTCCTTCATTTTACAAAAACATACCGCATATTTACTACTCTATTTTGAAGCATTCCAATAATTAAAAACTACAGCCAGTTATCAACAAAACGGACTACAAAGACAGTCATTTCTCTAGTCTTCTGAAGTCTGTGTCGTGATTTTTTTTTTTGTTCCAATTATAGTATTTTGCTAATCTACAAAGTTCAGAAATTCTCTATGGGACTGCCTAGCCACAATGTGGATCAGTGAGACTCCGCTTAATTGAAAAACTGGTTTTAATAAGGAAACAATAGTTATTGTGCCTTCAAAGAGACCATTTTCTATGCTAATTTATTCTCCAATGTGTTCTTTGTGTAAAAAGAATGTTTAAGCATGCTTTTTTGTATACCCCTTTAGTAATTCTTGGTAGGCACATTTTTCAACATGCTTTATGATTGCCTGAGTTGATATGTCTTTACATATTTATGCATGTTCAAATAGTCATTGTGTTTCTATAGAGGAGAAAAATCCCATTTTACCAAATTCCATAGAGAAATAAAGTGTTCTCATTGTACTGAACATTTGTTGTAACAGACGCATTCAACACCAGTTCCCAGACAAACGGTGCAAAGTTCGTGCTCAAACCAAACACTTTTACATGCTGATTTCCCTCACTTCCCTCCAAATCTACTTGTGGTCACATGCATCTGTAGGCAGACTTATAGGGGTTCTGAGTATACAGTGGTAAATCAGGTTATAAACTAGGAAACACTGACCTTGTCTCTCAGAATCAAGCTCACCATCTCATGCTCTCCCTGCCAGTAGTTGACGTTAGTGTAGACCTCAGTTGTCTATCCCTCGTCTGCCCTGCGTTCTGATTCCTACTTGCTTTTTATCTATGGCTCCCTTTAAGACCCTCCAGTGCTATTTCTCACCACCAAATGCTCATTCCAATGTTAGTTTTGCCCACCCAACTTTCTGGTCTGACTTCCGATAAGTAGTACCTATCCCAGAGATGCTCTCTCCCATCTGTTCTGTCTCTGAGAGCTTTTTTGTTTCTGTTCCACTCCACTCACAGGACTTTGAGGAATCTGTTTCCTTTTTTTTCTTCACTTCCTTGTTCTCTCTCTGTTTCTTTCTTCTATCCTCCTTATGATCCATTCTCCAGTTCATTTCTAACGTTACTCTCTCCTAGCTTAAGGTCTCTTAAGTCTCCAACTCTATCAAGTAGAATGAAAGAGAAAATCATTTGCCAAAACAAGTCAACGGAGGCTTTATTTGATGACAATCATGGCAACCAAGATAGAAAGATGATGGCGATTTCTTGCTGATATGTACACATCTTACTGATGTGTGTATATTTCTCAGTCAAATAACCAGATAGGAATTATGAGGGGGAGGTAAGGGGCACTTCCTTCTTATGTAAACTCCTCCCTACTTTAATTAAATTGGTTCTCTGCTGAGAAAATCCTCAGTGTCTTCCTCAAAGAAAGGAAGTGTTCTAACAGTGTGGCCTGAAGAATGCTGAGCCTGAGTTTAATATCTGAATCCACACTGGACGCTCTAACCTCAAAAGCTACCAGCAAGTAACCATTTTATCTGAACTTTTAGTTCAACAGTTGGAAGTTACAGATGTGTTGAATGTTTTACATATGCTTTTATTTGTGGGACAGGATTAGATACGTGTCCAAATTGCTGATGCAGTAATCCAATAGACTAAAGAATCATTTAGATGCTTTAAGATTTTGAGTTTCTATGATAACATCAGTTTTATAAAATAAAATACTTACCAGCACAAACACACACAAATACTGTTTTGTTGGTATGTACACACTAATCCTTAAAAACCCTGAAGAGCAAAGTTTTACACATAACTACCCATCTCACTCCCTCCCCCAACACCAAACCAAATGTTTGAGTCTTCATATTTCTCCTAGTTTCATTCAAGTTGGAATCATAGTTAATTTTGAAAACTACAAACTGTTCCTGAGGTTCTATTCTCAAGGACTATTGGTACAAAAACAAGCAATTCAG